TTATTTTCAAATCTTCAATGTACTGTCATTATAAAATAACTTTATTATTTTTAATTTAATTGTAACATAAGTTCCTGTTAAAAACGAACCAAAATTAAAAATAATTATATATCGGCTATCGGCCAAAATGAGTTGAAAATTATCGGCATATCGGATATTGGCAAAAATCCAATATCGTGCATCCCTAATTTATACTTAAGGTAACATTTAAGATGTTAAAATATAAAGAGCTTAAATATTTTTAACAGGAATAGGTGACTCAAAAATAAAAATTATGTCGTCATCATGTTGTTTCCAATCTGTATGACTGTCCTTCTGTCAAACACAAAATGAGAAGTTGCTCTAACATTGCTCTTTCCCATACAGCGAGAGAGATAAAATTTTTTTTATCTTTCTATTAATTGAATATAGCACAGAGGTAATTTATGATTGGTGTGCTGTATGTAAAGAGCTCTTTAAACATCACTTTTTTCTCTCTCTCTAACAGTTGAGAATCCATCTCACAGTGATTTTGTGCATCTGAGGAACATGTTGATCCGCACACACATGCAGGACCTGATACATACAACCCACTATGTGTTGTATGAGAACTATCGTATAAATTGCCTGTGCAGGAATTTTTTTTTTTTTTTTTTTTTTTACCAATAGGAGAATGTGTAAGGATTTTTCAGCTAGATGTCAGATGAAGACAATGTGTGTCTCTCTGAAACCTCAAAATGGAATAAATGGGCTTACTGAAGAAATTTTTTTTTTTTTTTTTTAAAGTACCATTTAAAAAAGTTAACTTAAAGACAGAGCCACGACCCTATCGAATGTTTGAATTAGGCCCATAAATTTATTTGGGGTAAGACAAAAAAATAAAAATATAAACTATGTAACTAAAATACAATCAGCCTCTTTTTACTGCTTAACTTTAAATTAGGGTACTCTTATTTTTACTTAGGAAAAAATCAATGCTTTACTGTGAAATGCACATGTATTGTCATTTATTGTCTCTGAAAAGACGAAATAACACTTTCTGAGAGACACAACTGCTCTGCTTTGTGCTCTGCTAATTTTCTTTGGCAAAATAGAGAAAAAAAACTGTCAAATTTATCCAGTAGTAACATATTGACAGGTTAGCAGAACCCAGACACGCTAAGTATATTTTGGCCTTTGGGTGTTTCTTAAAATAAGATACGATGTGCTTATGTAAAGTTAAGGTCAAGATAAGGTTAGTTCTTAACATTAGTTTTAAAATGTCATATAATGACTCCTCAAAAACTTCATATTTATGAATGAATGATAATGTACATTTTATCTTAGAAAAAAAACAACAACTTGAAATCAAGATGTCACCTTGTGACAAGCCATCTTTGAATTGCCTTGATTTGCAAGAATGTGCAGAGTGACCTCCAGTGGAAGGGGTTTGGAAAAGCCACCCTAGAAGACAGTTATGATGGCTAGATGAAGGATTTAAACCAGTTTGTCTATTGAAAAAAAAAATTTATAGTCTATGATTAATGTTAATATGAGATGTTTGGAATCAGATTTGACTTGCCAAATTTATTGTTTAAATATTGCGGTGCAACAATACACATTGGCTGCACATTTGAAATGCGAATGTTGCCTGGTGCATGATAACCCGTGCCACATCCTCTTCAGTGGTCACTATTTGTCGCAGGACAATCCAATTTAACTCCTTACATATCATGGGCTGCTGTTGTAATGTAGTGGTCAGGATCCCTGTCAGTCATGAAGCTGAAAAACAAAAAAAGGATTTAAACCAGTTCTGGACAAACTATTAAAAATGGCAGTTGTCTATTGAAAAATCATATATAGTCTATGATTAATGTTGATACAAGATGTTTGAAATTAAAACAGTGACTGAGAGGAGAAATAGAGAGCACACATCCTACTTATAATGCTGATGAAGTACTCTAAATAGTTAATATATGATACACTAAGAGTGCTAGCAAAGGCAAGAGTGAGAAAAGTATAATAATTATTATAATAATAGGACAAAATTATTAGAGAAATAGACAAAAACGATTAGCTTTATAAACATTATAATACAAATTGATACTTGAAGGCCATCTTCTAAATGAGTCGCTGCATAAACAGTTCCAAAGCCTCCTTCACACAATTTGAATGCTGATTTCATAACAGCACAAATTGATGTATGTTAAAAGATAAATAAGAGGTGTTGACATTTATTGTCAATCGGTGACAGCACTTACTTCAAAACCTTTTTAAAAATAAAAATCCATGTCACACAGAACTATTTAAGTGAACTTTCCTTCATAAATACAAATTTAAATGAAATTTTGCTGAATGTTAAGTTTTTTTTTAATGTTATTTATTAACTACCCTTAAACAAAGTGCAAATTAAAGTTATTTTAAAGCAGAAACTGCCATCACGGAACCATCATCACAGTCATCCGAGGCACAGAATAAAGCTGGAGGGATTGGACGTGGCACAGACTGTACCTCAGGGGACGTCAACACTACAGTCAGGTGCAACATGGACTAAAGTTTGGAAGGAGTCGAAATTAAATTTGCACCGTTAAGAGTATTCACTATTAGTAGTAGTAGTAGTAGTTATTATTCACTATTTCGAAGCTTTCGAAGCCCCACACTGGTGACACCTGCTGGTCAAAACTGTGTAAATGCAACAAAAACTCAGGCCAAACATAAAAATAGCTTTTACAAACCCATTGCAAGTGTTCTATTGAAAGCAAAGCAAATTAACTAACCATCCATTAAATTACCATTAAATATGAAGTGTCTGTATGTGTTCTTTTATTCATTTTCAGGGCTTGTTTTGGTTATTCAATGAATGACACAGCTAAACGGGCCAATAAGTGATTATTAACTATACTATTATTCCTTTTAATTATTCAAATGCCTCATTTAAAACGTCTACAAATTTATAAAAACTGATCTGAAATCAGGTAAATATTAGACGCTTGTTCAATGGTTTGCCGCTATGGGGCAATCTCAGTGATCTTGTACGATTCATGGGTTCACAGAGCTCACCTCTAGCAGTGAATCACTGAAATGTCGAAACATTTTCGTTTAGTGTTTTGTTTAAGTGTCTTGTTTATTGAAATCACGTGACTGGTAGTATGATATGTGTAAAATATGAGTAGTATGATGGGATTCAAAACAAAAAAATCCATAAAGGTTTCAAAGATTCATGAAGCAGTGTTTTGAAAGTGCCCATCACTACTGCACTCTAAAAATTGCTGGGTTAAATACAACCCAGTGCTGGGTAAAATAGGGACAAACCCAGCAATTGGGTTGTTTTGACCCAGTGGTTGGGTTAAATGTTTAACCCAACCTTCTGGGTAGTAACCCAACCGCTGGGTCAAAACAACCCAATTGCTGGGTTTGTCCCTATTTTACCCAGCACTGGGTTGTATTTAACCCAGCATTTTTTAGAGTGTGTACAGCACACAAAGTAATATGTACTATATATTAAATCAAAATGTAACTAAATGATTGCCCAGCCCTCTGTACAGTTTGAAAATGTATGTCCAACATTCAGTATACTCACGCAGAGTGATATATACAGAGCTCTGGCATGAAACTCCAGATGGCGCAGTCCGATAGGTCTAACTCAATCTGACCTAATGACATCATCACATGGCACAGCTGATTGGTTCTCTCTTCTATCGGTAGCCAATGAGCTCGCTGCTCAACATTCAAATATATGATTAGTGCTTGCAGTAGCAGTTGCAGGTTGCTTCAGAAACCCTCCACCTTCCCCAGCTCCACCTGTATAGATCTGCTACGAGGTGATTCATGTATGCTATATATAGGGGTTATTTCATGTATGTTATATTTGCAGCAGCAATATTTCTTACATGCTCACAGCAGCATGTTGTGGATGTGTTGGCAGTAGCAAGTCTCGGTACTTGCTCTGCCGCAGCAGCGTAGCAGATCTATTCCGCCAAGACCAAATACATTAACATTTCATGTACATTACCATACCAATCCCTCCGAGAGACAGAAATATATATATATACTGTATATATATATATACAGTATAGCATATCTCAACTGCTTAATTGCTTGTATCGTTGCTATTATGAACATGATTTTCTGTAAAGCTGTTTTGAAACCATGTGTATTGTGTAAAGAACTATTCAAATAAATGAGTCGACTCTTGCAGTGGAGAACCCTGCTCACTCCGACTTCCTGAAGCTGAGGAACACATGCAAGACCTGAAGGATGTGACACGGGAAACTCATTACGAGAATTACCGCGCTCAGTGCATCCAGAATATGACCCGCATGGTGGTCAGGGAGAGGAAACGCAGGCCAGAGGATGAACTGACATGATGATCACATCGGACTATATTCTGCAGTGCAAATTAATGGTGTGCTTATTCATGATCATGATGTTTCATCACTGACCTTCCTGTGTGGTTTATGTTACTGTTTGTTTCATCCAGTCTGTGTAACCGGCTAAGAGACAGCGCCTCAGACCTTCCTGTGCCTCTGATGCCTGTGGACAGCGAGACTGAGCGCCTTATTTGGGAGAAAGATGAAGAGGTAATACGGTTTTGTTTTTTAATTAGATTTTTTTATTTATTTAATTAAATGTCTTCATTCTCTTCAGAATGGATTCAGTGCATGTTTGGAATGAATACTAACTTACCATTCACACCATACTAACTACTATTTTTTTTAAAACATTAAGTGAAAGAGTAGGTATTTACCACATGGGCTTCAGAATAGCTAGAATACTACTAGGATATTACTTATGTCTGCCATATTAAAATGAGTATGTTATATATTAAGATTAGTATGTTAGCATATTTCAACAAAGCCAGTGTTTAAGTCTCTCATTTCATTAAAGTTCTCTGATAGCTGTAATTAATCTTGTGTATTTTTGTTGTTGTTACTTTCTCCTTCTGCAGTTGCGCCGAATGCAGGAAGTTCTGGAAAGGATTCAGGAACAGATGCGTCATGGACATTAAGACAGACTAATCAATTAATTTAAATGAGTTTACAATAGAAATATGGCTTGAGATGTCAAAGGTTTAAGCTGCTGGATACTGCAGTGAATATTAACTTGTTGTTTGAAGGAATGTGTCCTAAATTAGCTGTCTGAAAAGGTATGAATACATCTACATAAATACTTTAAATATTTTAGATTGAATGTAAATATGACTGTTGTGATACATAAGAAATACGACTAATACAACTTGACTTGTAAATGTCATAAGATTTATTATGAATCATCAATATGTTTTTTTTGTAGTAATCTAGCATATTTTAATACGTTTTATTACTATTTTAGTTAAACATGGTGGACAATTCGATCTTAATGCAGCCCAAAATGTACAGGCGATATATAACTTAAACTTTCTCCATAGGGAAAATGCACAGTTTTCATATATTCATATATAATATCAATGTAGAATGAGGTCTAACGGTCCCGCCCACATCATACAGTATGATACATGGTCCCAAAAAATCAAATAAGGGGAGGGATTAACATTTAAACAAACAAACAAAAACTGCAATCTACATGCAAAACCAGGCATCGGTATAATCCTAAAATACATACACATATATGTGAATGCGTGCATATACCTCACATATATACATACATCCATACACATATATTAAAAAAAAAAATAAAAATAAAACACTAATAAATTTCACAAAGGTTAGGCTATTTTTTTTTGTTTGTTTGCTTTTTAACTGAGTGTGAAGCACAGCATGTATCATTCCATCTTCACACCCCCCCAAAAAAGAAAAAGGAAGTCAAACAGAAAATCCAAACCTCAATTTTTTTTTGCAGCAGAAAGAGGATGTTAAGACAAGGAATCACAGTGTCCGTTTGAAAGTGGACAGTAAAAATCAATTTTTTTTTGCAGCAGAAAGAGGATGTTAAGACCAGGAATCACAGTGTTCCGTTTGAAAGTGACAGTAAAAAAGCAACAACGTGGTGTACCTAACCATCGACAGCAAACCAATAAGTTTACATAGGGAAACGGTCGGATGGCTAACTTTGTGCAGGTTCAACCAAGCGAGTGCATTGAGAATGGCAGGCCGACTTTATGAGAAGCACTGCTATTGGCAAAGGGGCTTTTTGTCCTGATGTCAATGAAACAGAAAACAGCATGTTTTAACCTCTTAAAATGCTTATTAACAAGCGCCTACTTCACGACAATTTACACAATCACGCGTAGTAATGAAAAATGGCTGTGCGCCGATGAACGTACAATGGACACACAACAGCACCGATTTACACCGGACGCCACCTATGAACGTGCGCGCGGCGTGACGTTAACGTATTTTCGAAGACTTCTATCGACGTTCTTCATCGTGTTGCTACAAGCACGAGAACATTGGTAACTGCTGATTTGAAGAAACGGAAATGCCCGACTATCACACGCCGTAAGTAACGTTTTTAATCATTTGAAACGTTCTTCAAGTATTATTAAGTTAAACATCTGAGCACTTGTTATAAATGCTTTAATGTACTTTCAAATACATGTCTTTCTCAGATGTTGAATTGTGTATTAGTTGAGTTTCCTTACAACCCATTCGCCTCTACACTTTTTTTAAGACTTTGATTGCCAACAGATGTCTGTGACTGTAGGTCAGGTCAATGCAAGTCTAATGCGCTTGCGCTTCATATTCAGCAATGTTGTTGTTGTTGCATCGCGTAGGCAGTAGGTGGCGCCACTGGGCTTGAATTGGGGCTTAGGCACTTACATTTGCTCGCAAGTACAAAGACACTTTGAGAAACCTGATCTGAGTCTGAATGTACCTGTTTTTTTTTTTTGTCAAAAGCCCCGTATGAAGAGTTTTAAAAGCCCCCAAAATATAGTTACACAGTAAACGTTTTTCTGCATGCTTTCAGTACTGACCTTTAAGCACTCGTTTTTGAATAAAGTGGAGATTTTTTTTGGTGAATGAATGTAAAGTGAGAGATAATTTGCATACAGAAAAAAGGACACGAGGGAAAGAGTAGAATGAATTGATTTGTTTTAGCACTCCACTCTCACATTACTAAAGACTGACCAATGTCTTCGAATTTGCAAGTGCATTACATGAAATTCATTCCAACGCTGCATGGCAAAAGACACGCAAGCCCCTACTACAAGCAAAAGAGGACACGTTCCGATCCTGACGACGTCTCGGCGTGTAGGAGTGACAGTAGTGATTTTCTGAACAGGATCTAGTCGTCCTTTTCGCGATTAGCTCTTCGTCTTTAGTCTCTCTTGCGCTCGCTTTGTGAGACCTCCATTCATGGAAGTGTTCTGTGCAGCCTCTCTTTTCTTCAGGCCAGCTTTAGCGTGCTGATGGGAAAAGGAGGAACAGTTACCATAGTCACCGGATTGAGCACCGTCTGGCCCACCAGCCCGGTGTGATGGTGAGCGACCACGGCCGTTGGCTTTCCCACGATGGTGGCCTGCTGGCCTGTGACCGGCATGCCGTTAACTTGGGCGTGAGTGTGTGGGTGGTGCGCCAACGTGTGCGTGATGTGCCCCACCATCGCCGCCTGCGAGACAGCCACCGACTGCGGGTAAATGGCGGCGGGGAGGTGGGCCACGGGATGCACGGTGATGTGTCCGATAGGCTGGCCGCCACTAGAGGGCGCAATGTGCGCCAGATGTTTATGCCCAGCTGGGATGACGTGGTTGACCGCTTGGATGACGGATGCATGGGATACGGAGGCATGGGTGATGACTGTTGGCTGAGGAGGGGAAATGATGTGGGAAGGGGGCGCAGGGGCGATGGCTTGAGGGGTGACCACTGTGGGCTGGGGTTGATTGGGTGGAGCGGAGGGTGGTGTGGTGGGTTTGTGTTGTATGGAGATATGTGTAGGGAGAATGGAGGGTGGAGGCATGGCAGCGCGGGGCTCTGACGGCGCCGGTGCAGACGGTTTGGCCGCACAAGACGAGGACGGGGAGGAGAGGATGTCATCATCTACATCTTGGTCGAAGTTGTCTTCACCCTCTGAAAAGAGCGGAAATGAATCATGGTAATTAGATTTTACCTTGTGTCTTAGCCCTGATACACATTACAATTAATCATATCAGGGGGAAAATGTATGTTTGATGTAATATGAAATCAATGTAAACTTGGGAAGGAAAATGGCCTGTTTAATTGTACACACCATGAAAAACTAAGAAAAACGGATTCTGGTGGAAAAAAACTCAACATGGGGTAAAAATAAATAATTTAAAAAAGGTAAATAAATAAAATAATAATAATATCAGATCTATTTCTGGTGTAAAAAATTAACTAACAACTTGTAAAAAAATAAAGTGATTAAAATAAACATTCTATTTTCTATCAAATACATTTTAAAAAAATGATAATGAAATATTATTAGAATTTAAAAGAATGGTTTTCTTTTTAGTATATTTTTCACATGATCATTCAGAAATAATTCTATGCTGATTTGCTGCTTAAGAAACATTTCTTATTATGAATAGTTGATGTGTTGTACCTGATGCTGTTGATGTGGAGGCCTGATCATCTTCTGGTTGGACAGTTTGTCGGAGTAGTCTGTCGATCTCCATGATGTCTATACACTGGCTCAACTCATTCTTCAGCTCTGCGAGTCTTTGCTGAGTGGCGATCTTCTCCCGTGCCAAGCGCTCCATCTCGTGCTCGTACTCCTTTTCTTTCCGTTTCAAAGTCTGCAAGAAACATGATACATAACTCTGTGTATCCTCTGCACTTTAATATGCACATGAAGCATTCACTGCGCAAACACTCAATCACACACGTTCTGGTCTCAGTATGACACGTTTCTCAATCAGCCAACAAATGCGTTTCAACAATTAACTGATATCTAAGCTTAAGAATACACAATGGCTGTAAAGTCTCTACTTCCTGTTTATATATAATAACGAATGACTACTAGTAGATATAAGAACATGAGGTCATCATAACCATATTCCAAAACCTGTAGAGGAGACTCAACTCACAATTAATTAACATAGTTAATGTTGCTAAGCTAAATGCTCATTCAAAACATTGTACACAAAAATGAATTTTATAAAAAAATTTAAAAAAAAAAAGTATTCTACACATCACATGACACGAAGCCTCTATTCATCAGCCAAATAAAAGCTCTTTGATTTTAAATGTAGTGGGTGACCACACGAGGAGGGCCATTTTGAGATCACATGACAAGCCAAATAGGCCTACTATTCGTTTTATCTCAGTATTTCAACTACTACTATCATTTTGACTGGTGGATTTATTAAATCTCGGCTCAGAGCCAACAGTGCATTTGTATGGTGGCATCAACAACTTAAAAGACTTGCTTTTGTGTGATGCTACATTCATGAAACTAGTCCTGCGTTCCAATTCACAGGCTCCCTACACAGTGTTCACTGCACCCTACTCCATGAGCATAGGATATCAGTTGAAATTCACTTGACAAAAAGTGTTCATTTAATTGCCCTGCATTTTAGAGGAGTTCGAGGTATGATACTTCTGTAAATAAATATACATGACCACAGGTTTGTGTAAAATACATATCCATATAATACATCTATGTGTATTTATATAAATATGCATTTATTAATGTAATGTCATATTTTAAAGCACCAAGCGCGATGTTTAACACTAAAAACATTATATGCCAGAGCCTTGACTCCTTTCCACTGCCTTTATTGCTTCAAGTGCTGGACTGCTGTGCAGTGACTGGTGGGTAAATTTTCCTCTCCACTTCCTGTGAAGTGATGAATCAATGTTCCCCCATTCCCTTATTTCCTATGTTGTTTGCAGTGCCCTTTGAACTGAACATGTTCACTCCCCTCAGACTGGAATGTGAAGTCCACCCTGTGAAGTCCACTTTACAAGGCACTTAATAGTAGAATGGAACACACCTTAGTAGTCAAAATAACTCTAATGTGAACATACAGAAATAACTGAGTGCACCTTTTTAAAAGAGAGCAACAGTTTAAAGTCATAAGGGAAGAGAAGAAGGGAGGGATGAAAAGAAGGAATGTGGCAGTCACACAGGCAAATGGTTTGACCCACTTTTTGTGTTAGTCGGCTGACCACGGGACATCAAACCAGGCTAATGGGAACAAACTGTTTAGACATTTAAACTCTTGAAGAGGAGCAGGTATGTCCATCCACATTCAAGAAATGTGAGTAAGAGAGAGGCTGGCCGTGTGAAAGCGGAACTGCTCGGTGACAGAATGTTTAACATATGTGCTCATACAATTTTAGGAAACAAACTGTCCACGGAGCAAAGCAGTTTACACACCCCATCCCGTCTGTCAAAGCCTCGCGCACGTGACGCCTCTGACACACTCACATCAGCCAGTTTCCTCCTCAGTCCCTCCCTCACCTATGCTCTTGCCAAAGAAACTGTGTGACAACACGGAGTCCCGTAGAGTCAGAGGACTGCAGTATGCATGATAACAGCACGTTTCTGAGTGCTGAAGAATAGAAAGCAGCGAGACAGCAAGCATGCACGAAGATAGAGTGATGTGCAGAGATGGGTGTCTGGGATTATATAACACACTGATACAGTATTAAGGGAATATGAATGCGACTGGTGCAGTAGGTTGAGAGCACAGGCAGAGAGAGAATCAGTCCTAGTGAAGCCTGATCCAGGATTAGTCAGATTGGACTGTCTGGCCCTAAAGCCCCTTCACACAGCAGGTCAACACCAATACACACACACACACACACAGAGCAATACATACAAGCCAACACCTTCTGTTTTCTACACAGACGGTATACAACCAGCACTATTAAAATGTATCATATTAAATCATTAAACATTTTGCAAAAAAAGTGTTTTTGAACCTTTAAAGGGATACTCAAAAATGAAAATTTTGTCATTAATCACTTACCCCCATGTTGGGGTGGAGTATCCCTTTAATTGATTATATTAGGCTGCAGCTGAAAGTTATTTTAACATTGAAATAAAATTACACAAACACTCGCTATGCACTAAATGTAGGGATGCACAGATATTAAAATTCTGTCTGATATTTCGAAGCCATATAAACATATACACAACACAAAAGTTTTGGTTTATACAAATTTTTTTTAAAGGTTTTTGGAAATAATTATCTAATGTTGTTCACCAAGGCTGCATTTATTTGTTAAAAAAAATCAAACAGTAATATTGTGAAATGTATTATTTATACATTTTATTATTATTTATTACAATTAAAAATGTTCTATTATATATTAAAATAAATGAAAACTGATTTTTTTCCAGATTTTTTGATGAATAGAAAAGTTCAAAAGAACAGCATTTACTACATTTACTTTAAAGGTGACATATCATGACAATCTGACTTTTTTCCCCATGTTTACGTGCTATAATCGGGCCCCCAGTGCAACCCAGAAAATGTGAAAAAAAACAACCCAGTAATTTTTTTTTTTGTAATTCCTTCTCTGCAAGCTTGTGAAAAAACGAGCCGCTCAAAATTTCGCTCCCCTGTGATTTAGAAAGGGTATCTTATAATATAAATTATATTAAGATATTATTATACGTATACCGCCCCTTAATCTGCAAGTTTCCACCCACAGGTGCCACCATTGTGTTTTCGCAAGGGCCGACGGTGTACCAGTTTTAACGGCATGGCGAAAGTTCGAGCAAAGCATGCTAACTGTTCTGTCTTTGGCTCAGACGAGCACAGAACAATGTTTAGAGTCCCAGCCTCAGAGGAGACGAGAGAGCATTGGATTTATTTACTGTATATTGCGATATAGGCCACATAGATCTATCTAATATAAACATGCGATTTCTTTCCCAGCTGTTTACCTTCACAGACATAACCAACTGTTTTTGTAACTCATGTGTGTTTTTAAACATAAACTTTGTGTATTGTATAGTTTAAGCGCAATAAGACATGAAAGAGAACTTAAGTGTGTGCGCTCAGAGAACCGTGTATCAGAAGTTAAAAATAATGTTATAAAATGCATGATTTCAATGCAATAGACACCATAATCAAAACCAAACAGATGTTTTTTAGCAGAGTATCTGAGGAACGAGCTATAAAGGCACAGTCCTATTCTGGAAAAGGGGCGGGGAACAGCAGCTCATTTGCATTTAAAGAGACATGCACAAAAACAGCCTGTTTCTGCTTCCACTCAAAATAGGCATTTTCAAAATGATGTAATAAATGATATGTGGGGTATTTTGAGCTGAAACTTCACAGACACATTCTGGGGACACCTGAGACTTATATTACATACTGCACTTTTACTCAATGTAATGCAACCTTGCTGAATAAGTATTCGTTTCTTTAAATATTTGAATATCCAATATCTACTGATAATGATTAATAAAAAAGAAAAATACGCAATGTCAGCCGATAACTGATATACTGCAAAATAGTCTGCAAAAAAATATTATGTCTCAAAAACTGCATTTTGGATTTTGTTGTAATTGTTTAATGACTGTTAATACCTCGTCAAAGATTCATATAAACATACGGGTGTTTTTGTGACAAACAATTGAACTTAATACTGCAAGAAGAGATGCTTTAGAAGCGAAATGCACTTGAAATAAACAAGTCACTGAACCGGGTAAACTTATATGCACTTTAACAACATGCCATTGACCACCAAATTAATCCTAAATGTGCAAAATGTAATATTTAGTAATTAAAATAAATCAAAGGTTTTCATAAGCTCAAATTAACATTTTTAGCTGGCAAAGAAAAACCAGATGGATAGAGAAACAGCCAAGTGGAAAAAAGAAGTATACCTCTTGGTAAGAAAAGAAAATATACAAAATAATGTTCTTTTTAGCAGCATCATATGACCCCTTTAAGGCTACTCAATGACTTCACATGCTCAGCTTCTGTTCATCAAAATGAATAAAAACACAAATGTAAACAGAAGTTAACCCACCTGTTCTTTTCCAGCTTGTTGTGAACTTCTCGAGTTCCAGCCCTGCGGGAAAAATATTGAATATGTTTCTAGGTCACTATATGTAAACTTTAACAAATCAACCCATTACGTTTAATATCATGGTCTGTTGCATGTATGTGCAAATAAGAAAATTCTGTCATCGCTCACTCTCAAACTGTTTTTTCTTCTAGGGAACACAAAAGGAAAGATTTTCATACAGCTCTTACACAAACAATGACATCAAACACTGAGCAGGGGTTGTCAAGCTCTGAAAAAACTAAAGATATAAAAGTACTATAATAAGTGGTCCGTATGAGTCTTCTGAAGCCAAATGATAGCTACATGAGAACAGCAGACCAAAACTTGGCATGATTTGGGGGGGAAAATGTTATTTCGCAATATAAAAAAAAAAAAAAAACTTCAGGTTTGCTGTGCTTGGACTGCACAAATCATCCAAAATTATTATTACTCCTACTACTAACTAAAAATATTAAATATCAGTATTGTAATATTCCACTGTGAAATAAAAAATAGAGTATTTAACATTTAAGTCTTTATTTCTTCATTTTCAAATGATAAAACATCAAGCTTTTATTTGGGCCACAGAGAGCCCTGAAAGTGTCTCTTTTGTTGACAACAGCAGGTTTATAAGCACTTCTCATTACAATTTTGGAAAGATGACTGGTGCATAGTGTGTTCTCGAATGCACGTTATAAGCGATGCAAACTCAGAACACATGCAGTGACAGAGTTTGTGTGGAACAGCATTTACTGTGAACCAAGCCTCTCTGAGAAACTAAAAACACTGGATCATGAGCTGCTCGCAAGTAAAAGAACACAGTGCCTCACTTCACTCTGAAACATGCAGCGCATATATGTATTTAATTAAATCACACTAAGCCATAATGTGATTTCAGTTTTGTTTCCGTTAAATGTAGTTCATTCTCAATGCCAACTTTCAAAACTCTGACTTTTAAACTGGATGAGCCCTGTTCGGTGATGAATGATGATACATAAGTCTCATTGTGTTTTGATGATCCATATTTTAAAATATGTAAATGATATTTAGGTGCTGCAACAGACTTTCATCTGAGTTCTCAGCAAATATTTCCACATGACAATATCATACGGCTTCAGAATATAGTGAAAGAGTAAAAAAAATCTACTTTTATGTACTTTTTTGCAGCTTAAAGGGATAGTTCACCCAAAAATAAGTTCTGTCATTAATTACTCACCCTTATGTCGTTCCAAACCCGTAAGACCTTCGTTCATCTTTGGAACACAAATAAGATATTTTTGATGAAATCCGAGAGCTCTTTGACCCTGCATAGACAGCAATGCAACTAAAATGTTCCCAGTCTCAGAAACGTAGTAAGGACATCGGTAAAACAGTTCACGTGACATCAGTGGTTCAACCATAATTTTACGAAGCTGCGAGAATACTTTTTGTGCACAAAGAAAACAAAAATAACGACTTTATTCAACTATTCTTCTCCTCCAAATCACATCTTCCGCCATTATCGAGAGTACCTCTGCACATAAACAACATGCGCATGAACACGTGCAGAGGAAAGCAATGCGCATGCGTCGTGGTAATGGAGGATGGGACGAGCAAGAGAAGAATAGTTGAATAAAGTCTGTATTCTTGTTTTCTTTGTGCACAAAAAGTATTCTCGTAGCTTCATAAAATTACGGTTGAACCACTGATGTCACATGGACTATTTTAATGTCCTTATATGTTTCTGAGCCTGGGAACATTTCAGTTGCATTGCTGTCTATGCAGGGTCAGAGAGCTCTTGGATTTCATCAAAAATATCTTAATTTGCGTTCCGAAGATGAACGAAGGTAGGGTTAGTTCACCCAAAAATTAAAATTCTGTCATTAATTACTCACCCTCACGTCGTTCCAAACCCGTAAGACCTTCGTTCATCTTTGGAACACAAATAAGATATTTTTGATGAAATCCGAGAGCTCTTTGACCCTGCATAGACAGCAATGCAACTAAAATGTTCCCAGTCTCAGAAACGTAGTAAGGACATCGGTAAAACAGTTCACGTGACATCAGTGGTTCAACCATAATTTTACGAAGCTGCGAGAATACTTTTTGTGCACAAAGAAAACAAAAATAACGACTTTATTCAACTATTCTTCTCCTCCAAATCACATCTTCCGCCATTATCGAGAGTACCTCTGCACATAAACAACATGCGCATGAACACGTGCAGAGGAAAGCAATGCGCATGCGTCGTGGTAATGGAGGATGGGACGAGCAAGAGAAGAATAGTTGAATAAAGTCTGTATTCTTGTTTTCTTTGTGCACAAAAAGTATTCTCGTAGCTTCATAAAATTACGGTTGAACCACTGATGTCACATGGACTATTTTAATGTCCTTATATGTTTCTGAGCCTGGGAACATTTCAGTTGCATTGCTGTCTATGCAGGGTCAGAGAGCTCTTGGATTTCATCAAAAATATCTTAATTTGCGTTCCGAAGATGAACGAAGGTCTTACGGGTTTGGAATGACATGAGGGGAAGTAATTAATGACAGAATTTTGATTTTGGGGTGAACTATTCCTTTAACATCCTCAAACCTTGTTAGCATTGTATGCAAAAGAGCAGCGTGAACGTTCTCAAATTATCTCCTTTTGTGTTCCACATAAAATATGTATATCAGAAATCACAAATTTAGTTTGCAACCTACAAACACACAGCATGACTTGAGGGGCAGCGTTATTTCTCCTCATGGGTCACCGTTCAGGACAGCAGCCTACTTTTTAAAAATTGCAATCTCATAACAAAATAGCCAACCCAGTTTTGTTCAGTTATGATTACAGATGTGTGTCATACAGTTTAATCTCCTCCGCTTTAAAAAAAATCTCTTCAGTTTTCTTGTATGAAGTCACAAAACACAGCTCACCCTCCAGGTCTCCTTTTCCCATCCAGGCTGCGTGGCTCTTCCACAGCAGCTCCGTTAGGCCTGGGCGGTTGACCTGCCTGACCCTGGGCCGGTGTGGGCTGAGGTTGGGGTAGTGCTGGCTGGGGCAAGAGGGCGTGTTGCTGTGGTGAAGGCTGGGCTGTGATGATGGGGGCTGGATATGGTTGCAAAAGTGCATGCATCTGTTGCGGCTGCGGTTGCTGCTTGGGACTGTTATTCAACAGAGGCAAGCTGTTAGCTTCTGCTTTTATGTGTGCGATCAAGTGAGGATGTTGCTGCTGCGGAGGGGAGTGGGCATCCTTGCCATTGGGGCTGAGGAGGGGGGCTGCTGGTGGGGACAGGGCTGTGGCCAAGGGTGTGACCACTGGCATAGGGGAGGCTATGTGAAGGGACGAAGCAGTCTGAATGGGAGGGGCCGCAGGGTTGGCAGGGACCACCGGGATAGGAATGACAGCTATGGGAACAGGTGGTGGGAGGGGAGGGGGCGGGACCGGAGGGTGGTGCTGGTGGTG